TGCGCCCCTCTGCCCGGCCCCACTCCGGGCCTCAGGCCCCCGGACGCCGAGCCGCCGCCGCCTTCGCTTCAGACGCTGACCCCACCGCCGACTCTGCAGCAGTCGGCTCCGCCCGGCGGCGAGCGGCGCCTTCCAACCCCGGGTAACCTACGCTGCTGCGGGCTTGGCAGGAAGCCAGGCCCCGACATTTTTTTGGGGGGTTGGGGGTTGTGAGCACCAGGCCAGTTCACCCACGGACCCCTTCTTTGCCTTGAGAAAAGGGAACTGGGGTGCCGCTGGGCCTGGTTCCTTCCGGGGATGGGAGACATCCGGGAGGAGTAGTGGGGCCTTAGTGTTGGTTTTCGGTTTTCCTGGAGCTGGGGGGGTGGGCACCCAGAGGAAGATGGGAATACCCCTCGCCGCTCAGGAACCTTCCCCCGTCCCCGACGCCCCTCCTGCCTCCGCTGCCTGCGCCTGCACTAAGCCACCCTGCAGATCCAGCGGGCCATAGAAAATTGGATTCTGCTCACGGACCTGGTGGGGGTAGGGGGTGGGGGCGGGTTACTGGGAGGGGGCGTGAGTGCGTGCTTTTCTGCTCTGACTGTAGCTTGTAGGGAGACCTGATTTCAAGAAGTCTTTAGGAACCACAGGCCACCGCAAGAGTCATGGAATCCGATTTCAACCTGTCCATTTATAAGGGACTGGCCATGTTCCTTTATTGTATGGCTATTGTCTTGTACCATATATGGCTTGAAATCGGTAGGTCGTTAGCTAGAATTTGAGAATTCTTCAACATACAGAGATTCTGGGAGCAAGAATTCGACTATCGGTAACAGAGGCACTTTGCTTCCATAAGGTCCACTTGGGCCAAGGAAAAGGAAGGGCTGGTGTTACAGTAAAGATGCCTATCCGAGTGCAGGAGTAGAGGGGAAAGTGCATCATCATTAATTTTCTGCAGTTTTGAGGGGCTCCCAGGAAAGTGGAGGTCTCAAAAATGGATTTGGGCAAGGCATTTCTTTGTGTGTTTTTCTGTTCCTCAAGCTTCTGCAAAACCTTGGAATTACTTTAATATTCTCTCTTCGCCTCTTTTCAGTGAGTAGTGCCTTTTAGGTTTCATTTCCTCCTTCCTCTGCATAGTTCAGGCCCTCATCTTCACACCAAGATTCCTGCAGCTAAGCTCTTCTCAACTTTATATCCTTACTCGTGTTCACCTCTTTATCCTGGAATTCAAAGGATTTATCAACTGTAACCATATCTTACCTAGTCAGTCTTTTATATATTCAGACTGTGCCTCAGCTCTTTCCCCCCAGATTCACTGTTCTGCCTGCATACATGATGTTTTTCCCATTTGCTAATCCCAGTAGAGTCATTTCTTCAAGTCTCCTATCCATTACCTGACCTGCCCATAAAGAACTCTGTTCTACTTTAAATTCCTTGACCACTCAATGTTGTATAACCTTATATATACTGAATGAAATAATGTTTACAAGAGTTCTTTTATAAAGAGCCCTCAAAAGCCGGGGCGATAGGTGTTTTTTTGTGTTTTTTTTTTTCTTCCATGGCTCATGCAGATACCCAAAGACAGTAATCTTTTTGGGTCTCACTTCTACAAAATGGAGTTACTACTTGCCTATCTTTTTTTGAGGACCCCTTGACATAGCTGCAAAAAATATGCTGAGAAGCATAAGGTGGTAGGTTTATGTAAATACTTCATTTCTTCAATGCTAACCTTTAGATTAATTCTGTTGTAATTCGCGCTACAGCAATTGCTTAATAAATGATTGTTGAATGGATTAGGAAACCTGGGTATGGCAGGGTACTAAAATGGGGCCACTGTCTTTTAATTTTAAAATCTAATTTTTGCAAAGATCTTGCAAATTAGTTTTCTGGTCTTTTATGATAAAGTAAGATAAAATATTTGTAAAGATTGATCACTTATATTTCTTAATGCTTACTGGAATATAGTTCTGACATGAAAGAAATACAAAGTATTAATGATTAATTATTTGATGCTTTGGCATAAGTGAAAGATATCTTCTGCATTAAAAGGGAAGAATGGAGACGGTGTTAGTTGCTGTACAAATGGAAGGGATAAAGCCAACTAATGAAAAAGTGAGTTTAGAAATTAGTGACTTCATCTTATAACATCCCAGTTGTTATTTCAAGAGTTGCAAACTCAGAATGATCAAGAAACAGCTTTCACCTTACTTTTAAAAAGATACGTGAAATAGGTTGAGCAACCGTAATCCAAAAATCTAAAATCTGAGGTGCCCTGATGCTTTTTGAGTGCCAACATAACGTTCAAAGGAAATACTCATTGGAGCATTTCTAATTTGGGGTGAGGGATGTTCAGCTAGTAGGTATAATGCCAGTATTCCAAAATCCAAAACACTTCTGCTCACACATTTGAAATGAGGGATATTCAATCTGTATAGCACTTCTTGTGGAAAGATTATAAAATTTGTATAAAATCTGTAAAAATTGTATTGGGTACTAGGTGGACACCAGGCATGGAAGGGGTTTGCTGACCCCAGGGAGATATGCTTGTAAACAGAGTATGAGACCAGATGCAAAGCAGTTAATAAATTATGACTTGAGAGTTGGTGAATAACTTCTGGGTTGAGGTAGCATTTTAGGGGAGTCTTGAATAATGTTTGGAAGGCAGCACATTTCAGTCCCAGAGAAACTGCTAGAGCAGATATCAGAAAACCCACAAATTAAGGAGAGAATAATTTAATATAACTGGATTGTAGTGGAAGGTGGAAATGGGAAAATAAATTGGGACATTGAAAATAAATTGAAAGACATTGGATTAGTAGCAAGGAGCCACTGTAGAGTTTTGAGGGTGTCTTAGCCTGATATAACCTGGAAGCACAACCTCATATAGTAGTGGGAGGCAAGGATTAAAATTATCATCCACTGTTAAAAAGAGGTTTGCATTTTAATTTTTTTAAAAAACCTGTTTCCAGCTGGGCTCGGTGGCTCAGCCTGTAATCCCGCGCCTTTGGGAGGCTTAGGTGAGTGGATTGCCTGAGACCGCGGGTTTGAGACCCGCCTGGGCAGGCGAGACCTCAT